TGGTGAGAGGAAGATTTCTCTTGTCTTGTGGGGAGATTCACCTTGGGTTCAATTTCTAACGAACTAATCTGCCTTTATGATAGATGGGACAACATTTACTACAACTATGGTTTTGGGATATTTTTATCCAAGTTCCTATTTTCATGGGTGCAGGATTACCTAAGCTGTTTTTATAATATATTTACATGGGCATTTTTTAAATCAGTTCATGATTTACTGATGTTTTTGTGGGAATTAATAATTCAATTCCTCTAACTAATATGGTAGTGAGGTAAGAACAGTGTGAAGATGACTCTTTTACTAGACCATTCAAGTAACTGGACTTACAAGTCCTTTAGGACCATGCAAAAGTATTAGGAAGGTATGCCTATGCTGCCCAGAAAACTGAATCTTTAGAATTAATGATTCTAAACATAGACACATGCAATTTTTTAACCTATTTTTCTGAGCTTTCACTTCAGTCCATCCTTTTCAAAATGTACCTGTCCTTCATTTAAAAACTCCTCTTTTGTGACTTTTGAAGCTCTGAAAACCTTGAGTAGCCAAACCTCCATGGATGACATACAATGGTGTTATTTCAAAATACAAAATCAAGTATTTGCAGAAAATTGATACCCAAACCACAGATTATGTTGTCAGGATACCTGACATTTTATTTGCTCCAATCATTCTGCAGACCAAACCAATTTTAGTTTAAATGTACATTAGCAGACTGACAAAAATCCTAGTTCTTTAGCATCCTTTTGCTCAGCCAGAAAAGGTATTTGAAAGTGACAGCTCTTTTCTCTACCCTAAGATTTTAAAAGGGGTTTAAAGCCACCATTTAGTAAATTAGTGGGGTTTGTGAAAAGTACAAATTTTCACAGGGTAGGGGAAATCCATGGCTTTGTTCACAAATAGTAATTTCAGTGAATGTAAGTTTATGTCTATAGTGCGACACAAAGAAAAATTGACAATATTCAATTAAAGCAAAAGATAAATGAAGATAAAGCATTGCACTTTTAAAAGTGTATTGTAATGCTATTGTTCAGGAATGCAGAAGACTCGTGAGGGCTCAGTTACACTCATCAAATTATCATAACCTCTATGTCAATTTACACTTTCCTAGGAATTTCCAAATGCAAGCCTAATCCATTTACACATTATATACATTTACTCTGCACCTGGAATTGACTAATTCAGCTTTCTCTGGACAGAACTTTAGCCAAAATTTGTTAATTGGGATGCTCGTCTGCATTTTTCTGTCAGGTGTGCAGAATGGCAGATTAATGTAGTTTGAAGCCGAAATGCTAACTGCTAAAACCCCAAAAAATCAGCTGGTCAAGGCAGAAATGGAGATCTTTCTCTCCCCAGTACTCACCTGCCTGTTGGACGAAGTGCTCTCAGTGTTGGTTTTAGGGGCGGCTAAAGGAGGGAAAATAAAACATTATAAATAAGGTTTGCAAGTTGTATGCAGCATCCTCCAGAACTGAAGATCTCATTCTGAAAAGGTATTTTTCAAGAGTAGTTTTGAATAAGTGAAATAAAATATTTCAGATCATTCATTGAAATGTCCATTTTTTTCTTTCCTGATACAAGCTTTGCTTCTTTCATGGGGTTATATGAAACTTAAATGTCAACATCTCTTGCCAGGTAATATGTGACATTTGCTCAGGAGATTGCATCCACGCATTGCTGAGCATTTCAAACTTATTAAATCTTTAGTAGTAAATATAGTCAATTATTTCTGGTGAGAAAGAAGCATGGACAAGCAGACTGTCAGAAGAGCAATCATTTTGCTTAAAGATAGCATACAGAAACGGTTCTACAAGCCAAAGACATTGTTCACGTTTAAACTGTAAAGCTACAAGATTATAATTGTTTTTTTAAGTTTCTTAGTGCCAAAGTCCAAGGCAGTACTCAAAATGGGGAAAAAAACCCCGATAAGCTTTGTGAATCTGCTGGCCCATTCAACTTCACAAGCAAACTTCTGAGACTAGGGAGGAGCTTGCTCTTTTGGTTTTCCATGTCGGTTTGCGAGTCAAACAAGCTGTAGTGGGACAAGGGGGAACAAAACTGGACCTTGAAAAATACTGCAGCAACTAGTACTCCCCTCACCAAGCATGCTTTGCAACTCTATGGTTTTTATATTGCTTCAAATGGTTCTCATATGAGACACCTGGGAATCAAATAAAATAATACAGAACCACCTCCTTGTCTCAGCTCTCACACCTTGGGTAATGGAGTCTCATCTTTTCCTAGAAATATAACTGTAGCTGCAGTGAAGTACCAATTGATTTTTTTTTTGTGTGTGTGCAAGAGAAAGGTTTATCAAAAAGGAAATTTTAATTATCAAGCACGAGAAACAAAATCAAATAATGATATTCCAACAATAGTAATTTTTATTGTCTTGTCCTTAAAACTATGTATTTCCAGTAAAGCAACCCAATGATTTTTAGAACTTTTTTTCCAACTAAATGCCATTAGTTTTTCAGTGTCAAAGTTCTGAGATATTTTTTTCATTCCAAATGTTCTCATTATTAAACAGATTTTTTTTTTAGAAGATCTGTTAAAAAGCTGCTGCTATGGTGGATGTAATTTTTACTTCAGCCATATTTCTGTGTGATCTTTATATGATTTCATGCATCTTACAACTTTCATTTCCAAAACAGGCAGTTTATCCTAATCTTTGAGGCTTTTTTCACTGGAATACACACTGAAAAGGCTGGGATTTGCCTTCAGTCTTGCTGTGGCTTTCCTTTACCTTCTAGGTAGTGATTTTGGGCCCAAATTTTATTTAAAATAAGCTCAAGCAGTGTCTGCTGCAGAAGAACAGAAGCATTTAACTTTCCACATTTATAGCATAAAGATAACAACAGTCATCCACCTTCATATAAATTTTTTTAACCTACATAATCTAAGTGAAAATTGCAAGATATTATTATCAGGTCCACAAAAAAAAGCAACACAAAAAAAATTCTAAGTTTGATTGATACTTGTTTTGAGAGATCTGTTTCTGTGAGCCATAGACAGTTTACTTTATTCGTAAAATGGAGAGCTCTTCTGTCTCTGCAGTATTCCCTTTCTGGACTTGAATAAAACCAATGCCACCTTTGTTTTACTGTCCTCCCTTCATTTTAAGGTACCAGACAAATAAATTTGCCTATAATAATTGTTCTACATTTTCTTAAAGTATGGGAATCTACTGCTATTGTTTACAAATTTTTGTTTAGATTCTTCTTCATTTTCAGGAATTGCATGATTGAACACTGCAGGGACTCTTATACTCTGTAGTTAGTTGTTCCCCTTTCTACGACTTTGGCAACAAGGTAAGGTGCTTATGTATCAGCAGTTGTTCCACCTGTTTGGCAGATGACTGCATTCCTTGCTGTATCTCTAAACCACATTTGAGAAATAAGAGGTCGTTAGTAAGTTCAATGACGTGCTTCCTTTCAGGAATCCAGAAAGCACAGGTGTGATACTTCCATTCGTTCAGAACATCTTACTGTAATGAAATTGAACTGGTTTTTTGATGACTGTTAATGTTATCATATCCTCCGAGGTTTCCTACTTTAATATATTTAATGGTCAGAATCAACAGGAAAGTTTTGATTCTATTGGAGTAATGTGATGATTTGCCTACGCAGAAGCAACTTTCCTGACATCTGCCCTTAACAACAGCTGCATTAGCTACAGACAGGTGTATTCTTTTATTTTGTATAATTCTGGCACTTATAAATACCAGGCTTCATCAGCTTTGGAAGTTGTAGTGAAAAAAGACAGATAGAAAAGTTTCTTACTATGGCGTTTCTTTGTTTCTGTTTTACCTTCTTCTTTTGTTACTCCCAAGCAGCCCATTAATTCCTGAACTGACAGGGACTTATCGTTGTTCACATCGCAGTATTCCACAAACTTCTTCACACATTTTTTGGGCTTTGATTTCTTTCTCAGAAATCTCTTAAAGGGTTTGATTTCTTTCTTGCCAATATCACCACTGGAATTTTTATCCAGTTGTTTGAAATACCAATGGACCACTCTCTCTTCCAGAGTATGATTTGGATCAGGCTCTGAAACCCTGAAACAGGAAAAAAAAAAGTTTAGTCTTAATTCTAAGATACATAAACCTGGGTTTATGCCTTTGTTTCAGAATAGTTACATCACCATCAGATGTATTGTTACATAAACCTCCCTACTTTTGGACACTAACTTCTTGTAGTAAATCCCTCTTTTTCCACTTTGGCCAACTGTAGCCTAAATTTTACACTAAGGGCTGGAATCTGCATTTAGTTAACTCTCTGAAATCCTGTTGAGATCAGCAACACACTGGGAAACAGTGCTTTCCCCTTTAATTTTCTGAAACAGAGAAAAATGAAGAGAGAAAACAAAAAGAAAATGACAGTTTCGTAGATTAAATGTGTAAAGTAATCAATAGCAATAGATCAACAATGAGCATCGCCAAATACCTAGCTCTAATTACATGATGGATGCTTTTAGAGATAAAACACCTAAAGGTATTGAATTACATGATAAGTTATAATGATAAATGCCATCTCCTCTTCAGATGGTAAACAGCTGACCTGCAGATGCCCAAAGTTTGACAGCATTTGTGCATTTTTAAATTATCTGTGAGTGTCGATAGTATTGACTTGTTTTGCAAGCAATTAGGCAAATACGAATCAGGAAGGTAACACACAAACATTCATCAAATAAAGCCTAAGAGGAGAAAAAAACCTGACAGACAGTTGCACCAGCAGCTACAGATAAACTCTAATGTGTGCTGCTGAAAATTCCTCTATCAAGTGTATCTCTGTTTAGTGGATATAATGCACAGTGATAACTTTGAAGTAGTCTCCAAGATAGGTTCTTGGAAATTTACCCTTTGTGAAGGCTTCTCAAACCCATCAACTATTCATTCACCACTGCCAGAATCCTTTTAAAGACACACAAAAAGGATCTGAAACCCACCGGCTAGAAGACAAGGATGGATCAGAGACTGCGTGCACCATATCTGTGGACAATGCATCCAAAACACTAGTCAGGAACTCATTCTTCTTGGCCCCAGGACAACCTAGAAAACCAGAATTTTTTTCTTTTCCTGTTAACTGCTGATACAACATTTATATTCCAAGAATATTTCAAACTTAAAGATAGATGTGACTCCATGTACACAAATTTCCAGAAATTGTGGACAAGTTCATAATTCAAAGACATGTGCCTAAATTGAGGTACATATCTGTAATAGAGCAGGAATAAACAAACAAATATTTGAACTCAAGCAAGTGGGAGTCTGTTTTGCATACCTGGAGTTCCTTTCTTTCAATTTTGGCCATTATTTTTTTTGAGATATCTTTAACATAGGTGTCATATTTTGAAAATAAAAGCTTTTAAACAACAGAAGTTTGTACGTGACATAGACTGTTTGAAACATCGACTTAGAAGCTCACAGCACAAGACTTCTTTCAGATTTCTACTTTTGCTCCTCTGAATTTCCATTGCCTTTCTCAACACACATTCTTTCAGTACATTGTTTTTCCTCTCTGTAAAATGACAGTCAACTCCTTGCCTCATCCCCTCTTCTCTTGGACAAGACTGCTACATGGCACCTAGCCCAGTCGGCTGCTGTTAGCTGGTACTTTGGTTAATACTGAGGGATCCTATGGTGACACTAGATCATCCTCATGACTACATTCTCAATGCTACAAAGTTTTTCTCTGAAAGAAACTGACAGCACCTTTCAGATACATAATACATCAGATAAACATATACTGAAAGATCCCCTCTTGGAGCAGCACAGCTGGAGCAGATAAATTCCTCTGACAAGTGCATGGATGTTGACACATGGAGGTTTGCTTATACAGTCCACCTGTTTCCTCTTCCCTAGAGCCCTGAGCCAAACACCAGGTCTACCCGTAGCCCTCTAATAGCTGAGGTAAACTCTAGGATGATCCATGATGAGTGACAAAGAGATTAAAAACTTGAAGCTGGAGTCCATGTCAGGACTTTCAGAGACAATTCTCTGCTGGCAGCCACTTACCCACAGTTCTGCTCTCAAGTGAACAAGGGAAATACTTTGAAGTGTTGTGGATAAAGATTAGTCAGCCAGTAGGGATTTGTTATTTTATTACACTTCTCAGCAACCTCTGGAACAGGCAGAGGTACTATATGAGCCTTGCCCAGAAAATTATTTTTTAATACATCCCATGTTAATCCAAGGAAATAAACCTGTGTTATATTAGCCCTCAGTTGTGTTGCAGTAAGAATAGCTCAGCTGTTCTGTACAGCTGGAGCACCCACTCTACATATTATTGTCTAACACATTCATGTAGTTATGAGTTCCCTGTCTCTTATGTGTTTGCTTTTCACATCAGGGACATTTTATTCCAGTAACTGTAAAAGGTGTGTAACAGGAATTTACTGAGGCAGGTTTCACGGCACTAAAAGGTATACATATGAAACTAGTTGTCACTCTCTCAGATATGTTCCTCTTTCCTTAGTCTTTAACCAGTGTGGGTTTTTTTCCTGTCACAACTGGAAAAAAAAAAAAAAAGAAGAAAGTATTAACAAAACAAAACAAAGACCTAACAGCTATGGCTATAAGTCTGAGTTTAGTGAAGCAAGCACTTGAGCTTTCTTTGTAAGGAACAAAAGTGAGAAGGGTGGCAAGAGATTAATAGGTAAGGACAAAAGATTATACCAACAGGTTCCTGGCAGCATTCAGTGAGTAATTTAAAAGCATATTCTCTAGAACTTGCTATTAAATAAGGTTCAAGCGCTGTAACCATGTAAATAAATTATGCATTATGATTTAAATGAGGTCACATAACTTTGCAAGCCGCAAAAGCACATTTGTCCAGAGACGAACAGGCAGATGCCAAGAAGTCTGAATGCAGAAGGCACCTCCAGTTGTGTTAGCATGCACGAAAAAAGCAACTAAGTCTCCGAGTAACCTACTGAGCTCAGCACTACGTATTGCTACCAAGGATAGCACTGTGGACCAGAGCTGGTTCTCTTCAAAAGACAGGCAAAAAGAAGTCTGTCTGAGGCTCTCCCATATAGACCTATCTTGAATGATGTAAGTTTTATCCATTTCATACTGGAGCTCTGTTACCATCATCAGTCAGAAGCCTGAATCCTGCTACAAACATAAGTTGTGAATTAACACAGGACTCATGGAAAATGCAGGAAATAAGATCTCAGCATGTAACAATGCATCACAACATAGAGAAAAGGCAATTTGATTTTTTTCTTTATCTTTTTTTTTTGATAGATAATAATGTTAATACCCAATTTGATTTAGGAGCTCCACCTGAATTTTTCATGTTATTTATGAGGGCATTTCTGAAACATCTGGAAGAAAGAAAAATCTATGCTTTAGGTAGTTTCTACTGCTCTCCAGGGAGCTGCTGAGTGTACATATGCTACAGAAGTAGAGATCAAAATCCTGACTTAGCTTGCTCTTTATGAGATACAGCTAGGTAGGGGAAAGTATCAACTTCTAAATTCACAAGAAATCACGGGGAGAAAATTCCACAGTTTAAAGCCTGTCTCTGACAATTTTCCCTAAGAATAAGAAAGGTTTCTAAATGCATATTGCATAAAGTTGCAATAGCAGCTAACAGCAATAGAAATCTTCTCATAGAAAAGAAAAATTGCTGTTAAAATAAACACAATCTGTTGCTGTGAAACATTCTAAATTATAACTCTACTACGTAACGTAAAATGACACTCCACAAAATCCTCACCATTTAAACACAGAGAAAATATTCAGTTCTCCCAATTACAATTTTTGCTGATGTGTGGGCAATCACACAGCAATTTTCCTCACAGTGAAATCTCTGTTCTTTGCAGGTGTTAGTAACTCAGACTAATTCTCTGGAGGTTTCACACTGAGCTTTAATTTTCAACAAATCTGTGGATGAACTGGTAAGACTGGAGGAGCTTTAGCTTGATTGTAATGAATAATTCACTCTTACTGGGCTAAATACAGAAAATGAAAGACTAGTCTCTTATGGGAGCCTTATGCTTTTCTCTATGGTTTATACTTTTCAGTTTCTTCTGCAGCTGCCTCTCCTATGTGGATTTGACAGCTTACATAAATAGTAATTTGTTGTTAAAGGATGGAAGTTGAAACCACATGGAGTTAACCTATGGGTTCAGAGATGTAGAGTGGAGTGTTTGTTCTAAGGATAGTTTTACCTGGAGTAAACCTTAGACCAATAAATACATACAACACGATAGGAATACACAAATACCTCATTTCAACTATAATATAAAGCAAAGCAAAGAGTGATCATTATGCATTATATAATATAATGGCCAGTCTTCGCGAACGAAGAACCAGGGAAGGTCTTTACACCCTCCAGCCTGCGCACTGGATTTTTTAGGTGAGACACAGTGTGCGCGGAACTGAGCCCACCCTTTAATCCTGAGGTTCATCTGCTGGGGCCAAGCGAGCTTGGACGGTGGCAGCGAGGTCCTCAGGATGTAGATGGATTGCCTTACAGGGCTAACGAGCTCCATCTGCCCGGGGAGTCGCCCCGACCGGGAATCGAACCCGGGCCTCGGCGGTGACAGTGCCGCGTCCTTATATATCTCAAATGTACACATCTCACCATACATATAACTACTTTTAGTACTAAGAATGGACTTTTAAAGTTAAATTTGTGGGGAGGCTTTCCCTAAACCTTTTAAAACATGCACCCAAATGCCTTTGAGTTCCTTGCTTTGTCCGTAACAATCTATGACTGTCAGTCTTGGAAGATTATCTATTACAGCACCTCTGAAGCCATAGCTAGAAGAGCATTTAGTTCCTTTCTGTAAAAATGGGAATACAATAGGCAAGATTAAGCACTTTAAAAGGGATTTTACATCAATATTCCTGCAAGAGAGGAAACTATCTTCAGTCAGTCACTCAAGTTACTAAAGGCATGACAACTTCCAATTAGAAAATCTAAAGCTTTTTTATTCCCTATTTGTTAATATAAACATCAGGCTTAGCAGTGATCTTAAATACAATGTCCATTGAAATACCTCTGAAAACTGTAAATAAACAATAAAACCAGAATTATCAGAACTATTCATGCTTCTTTTGTACCTTTGACTTCACTGAAAAATAGTGGTATACAGAGAGAAAAGAATTTAACAAAGTTTTTCAGTGCCGCTGGTTATCCTGGGAGAACGGACAATACAAGGAAAATATTTTTTTCTTGGGCTTTTATTCTATACACACATATATGTACAGTTCATGAGTTTATTTCTATTGATCCATATGAACCACAAGTTTGTGTTTGTCTAGATATGCTGAGAATTCTCCTCATTTTTCCTGAGCTTTTCTCTTTCCTGAAAAAAACCCCTTCAAAAGATGAGCCTGGGAAGTGAAATTTGTAACTCTGCTGATGACTAAAAATCATTGTTTCAACACAGTGAGTGCTTCTATAGTTTTATTTAACGATTGGACTCCATGACCATAGAGGTCATTTCCAGTCTTAACAATTCTATGATTCTATGGTTCTATGGCTCATTACAGTTCTTCCCTCACTACAGCTCCTGGTAACCTCTCACAGACAAAACCTATCTACCTCTTAGTCCTTATCTTAAATGGGACATTATCATTTCTCTTTGTTTCATGTCTCAGATATTACCTTTTTAAAAAAATTTTATTTTTTCCCTTAAATATTCTTCCTATTTTAAATAAATAAGCTCAGAGCCAAATACGGTTCAGCTTTTATATGTCCTTACCCCAATTTCAGAAATAATGAAATGGAACAGAATAGATATTAGCTGTAGGGGAGCTACAGATCCATTGCCTTGTAGCCTCTGACCTCTATGTCTTACAGGGAAGAAATACTATTTCTTGAGAAGGGCAGGAAGCAGATTTTAGTTCCTAACATATATTTAACTTTATTTTTGTTACTATTTTAAAATTATCTTTCTGTTCTAATTTCAGAACACACACACACATGCACGCTAAAGAGTTAACAAAACTATGCTCTCCCCGGGCCCTACCCTTCAATCCGAGGCATTCATATCATACCAAAGTGCATTGAGTGGGATTTGTTGAACTTGAGC